ATTCGTATATTGAGAGATGCTCATTAATTGTGTTTATGAAAACAAATATGGTCTGAATCGCGCTCAACCACGGCTATGTATCACCGTGAGTTCAGCCACAGAGGAGCGCATGTGAGCGCAGAAGTCGGCTGCATACCTATTCCATCAGATAAGCTCCTTGCTTCTTCCTGGTTTATCTGCCTAAGGACAGCAACAGTTTGGCTAACATACATATAACACCTTTTTTACATAATCTTATATGCACATAGGTATTTTTTCAATTACTATAGGAAAAAAAGAGTGAGTGTAAGACGGTTGGATTTTAGAAATCTGGATGCTACAGCCGGCTGCAGCAAAACAGAGAGTTTACGGAGGACACACCGTTTTGTTTTACTTTTTAAAACTCATTGACTCATTTCCAAATGGAGGATTACCTATCTACGCTCAAACCATTCACTGGATTTAAACAAGGAATGGTCAGAACCGAAGTGGACTTGCAGGTCATTTATAAGGTCTAGCTATAGTAAGACTCATAACTCATAGTTTGCGTTTTGGTATGAACCAACAATGCGGCATAAAACATATTTTGCTGTAGCCAAACAAATTGTCCACTTGATTTTATATGATGTATCATGTTCATCGATTGGACTGAAGTCATGCTTCACCATCCTCACGCTCTCACCGTGGTTTCCCCCCCCCACATTCCACAGTGGCGGCTTACAGCACAGACAGAGATGAAAGTGAACAGGACTTCAGCACAAAACAGACTTTCTAGATGGAAAGATTGCACTGTTAAAGGTAAAAAAGCGCACGTCGGGTGCACATTATGGTCCAGAACAAAACGAAAAAGTAACGCAATAGTTACTGAAGAAGATGACAAAGTCTGGATCGCGTCTTTAAATCAGACAGAAGACAAGTTTTTTATTGTCGATGGTAGAGACAGCACGAAACAAAGCACACAATCACAGATACAGAGAATGCAAGTGTAATATAACAGAGCGGAGGCATGGAGACCTCCAATCAGCAGCTGCCACGGTGCCAAGTAGCTTGGCCTTTCAGATAGACAAATACCTAAATAGGAAAAGTACAGCTTCTTGCACATTGATAGAATGTGAGTTTAACTTTAACAAAAGTTGCTTCAACAGTGTTATGAAATCTCATATTCCCCCCACTGGTCATTACATCCACTTGTGACCATCAGGATTCGATAAACAGCAACATAACATCATAACTTCAATACTTTCAAAACTCATAACTCGGTACTATCAAAAAACCAGAACTCGAATACTTCAAAAACTCAGAAAACCTCATAAAACAAGTTCAGATCTTTCATATAACTTGTCTACAATCCTTCAGTAAAATACAAACGTCAACAGTCGATGTGTGGTACTGTTGTGTCCAGATATTGCTTTGAAAACTGTCCCACTCCACACATCTCCGTGTTTGTTTCATCAGAGCTGCCATTTGTTTCGATCCATAGAAGTTCTTCGGTGACGTGTCTTTCAAATCAACTCGTTTCATCTTCAGTGGTCCAGATTCAGAAAACCAATTTCCAGTCCAAATTATGTCCAAATTCAGAAATCCAGATTGTTCCAATTGATTTCCAAATTGTTTAATCCAATTTTTCCAAATGATGTCCATGAAAAAGAGGACGTAGTGGTGTTTGTCCTTGTCTCAGCAGGCTCACAGCCTTAACTGGAATCAGGGGCTGTGCAGATTTGTCCAAAGTGTGCTGTCCAGATCCATTTCTTGAGGTACCAGTAACCGCGTTAAATCCTTCGAACTTCTCGTTGGCCTTCTAATAGATATCTACCCGCCCCCCGTGTGGATCAATAATGTACGCACACCACTGTGCTCAGATAACACTCTAGGCAGAAGAGTCCGCCCCTTATCTCAGCAACTTTTGCAGAGTGAACTGAGACAGTGAGCATGGACTCCATGTTACATTTTTTGTCACCGAACCATCCTCCGATAAGGACACAGTTTGTCCTTGGTGGAAGGCGCTGCAGTTGTTAGCGCTTTGTTGTTTCAGAAAGGGGTAAAAAGCGGTTTGAAGTCTTCAGAACCATTTAGTTGTGGCCTTATTTTGCACTCCCTATTGTCCATTCCTAGCTTTGTCAACTTTGGGTTTAGCTCCACAATTGTTCCAATAATTCTCATTGTTGATTTTGGGAAAAGAAATGACGTCATAACTTACATTTCCAGTCTGTCCCATTCATCCCATTTTTCACTCTTGGAAGAGTCGGGTTTAGTCCCATTTCTTCTGTTTCCACAATAGATATCCGTGTTTGAAGAGATTTGAGCTGATTTTCCCCAGAGCACAACAGCCGCTGCACGTACGCTTCTCCGTCTCTTTCGTCCCGACATGACTTAAAGTTGATAAATTCCACAAAGCTGAAGTGTGTAGAAGGAGTAATCCTCGTTTTGAAAATAAAATGATTAAAGGAAAAACAAAAAATGTAAATAAAATGATTCAATGGAGATTAAAAGGCGAAGCAAAAGCAGAGCAGAGCAGAGAGACACGACCGCTCTCAGGTCGAGAAGCAGGAAGTCTCAAAAAGGGTTCATGAGTGTAGCCTAGATTAATGAGATAGATTACAACCAACCAGAGATACAAAAGCATTTTGAAATGCTTTGGGTGTAGCCCAAAAACAAAATATAGATATTTAGATATTGAAGAAGTTTAAAAGTGTTGATTCACCAGCACAGATTAGAATCAAACACCATTGTAGAAGAATAACTGACCCAAACCCAAACCTGCTAAAATAGATTAGCTCTTGTAAGGAAAATACCATGTTGGCACCGTTACTGTGGAAAAAGTAATTAGTTCAAGTTACTAGTTACTTCTCCCCCCAAAATAACAAGGAGTTACTAACGGAGTTACCTCCACTATAAAGTAACTAGTTACCCAAGTAAAAGTAAGATGAGATTTCATAAACGACTTTGAAGCAACTTTTGTTAAAGTTAAACTCATCCCATTCTAATCAATGTGCAGAGCCCTGTACTTTTCCCTTGTATTTGGTCTATCTGAAGGCCAAGCTACATGCACAACGTGGAAGCTGCTATTGAGGTCTCCATGCCTACCGCTTGTAAAATACACTTGCATTCTATGTTCTGTGATCGTGTGCTTTGGTTTCGTGCGGTCTCTACCATCGACAATAAAACATGTCTTCTGTCTGAATGAAAGAACGCGATCCCAGACTAGGTCATGTCATCTTCTTCAGAGTGGTGGAGAATGCGGCATTGTCTGTAACATCTAGGCCTGAGCGCTGAACAGAATGGACACCATTGACTTGGATTTTTTTTTGGAACACATTTCTGACTTTGGACAAAAATTTGGACTGATTGAATTTTTTGAAGCTGAAACAAGCCAAAGAATTCAGGCTCGACACACATGCATTCACTGTTAATTTGCTGTGTTATTATTGTCAGAACTCTTTAATGGACCTATATTTACCCTTGACATAAGAAAAGTATGTGAGATTATGTGATTATTTCCTAAATTAACTGCTGAAAACTTGGTCTTTTAATACTTTGTTGTGTCATCTTCATTAGTTCGCACTTTTTCATAACACATACAGCATAACGAGACACATTTTAATTTATTTTCCCCCCACTGTGCTCCCCTTGTGTCAAAAAAGGGTAAAACAAAACAAAGCAAAACAAACACATAAATAAGTAAATTGTATAAAAAGAAAAATAATTATACAAAACTGCTGCACATTAAACTAGTTCTATGTAATTAAATGAGACGTGTAGACCGGTAATTATATACATGTATATATATATGTGTACGTATGTATGTATTTATAATTATTTTCTCCCCTATCAGTGATGTGCTAAAGAAAACTTGAGAAGATAAATGTTAAAAATGAAATATATAATATAAAAATGACAAACTATGGCCTTTACTTGAAAATATATATTGCAAAAGCAGATAAAATACATTAGAACAATATTTGAAAGTCTTACAGCTGTGCAGACAACTGAAGGATTTTAACTTTTTATAACATAGTGATTATTCATGATTTTAATGCCCTAAATGTTGACTTTTTAGTTGCCTTGTGTATAAACGGTGCTAATAAACAATTAAAATTGCCTTCCCAATTTTCCAAGTAGTTTTTTGGTAAAACCCAGATCTATTTTAGTGCCATACAAATAATAATCCACCCCTTGAACACTGTACCTCATCCCTGCCCCTGCCTTTCACAACCCTTTACTGCACTGTGAACTGTGTATTGCTTGTACTTAGTGTGCATATAAGTACACACATTGAACTACTAAAATACTACACATTGTATATAGTAGTATTTGAGCCAAAGCAGAAGTGTGTGACTTCCTGTTGCTCACAATGGTAATGCAGAAATTCTGTATTTTGTTCCAAAGTGGGGAAATGTCAGTGTTGCATCCAGTTACAGAACAGTAGGAACGAGGAGCACACAGCACAAGATAAATAGACAAAAATCAAAGTCTATACTAAAATTAAAAATTAAATCTCTAGACGCCAGTATCTCTAGCTTTAGCATAATAAGGAACCCATCGAAGAATTCATTTGCAAAAACAGATTAATGCATTTGCATTTGCAAATGCAAAAACAAATGCAAAAACAGATGAACAGAAAAGTGCCATTAGAAAAATACTTACAACTTGCCCTTTACCGAGTAGTTTTTTGAAAAGCCAGGTGTATTTAAGTGCTATTTAAATAATATTTCACCCCTTGTTGAGCATATCCTTAAATACAACTTTTTGACACATTTTCAAAACTCTTCAATTCTAAAATCACCAACTTTAGCATTATGAGGAAGCAGGAACTAGGTATGAGATCTCTGACTTTAGATAAGAGGCATGTGTGTAGCAAAATATGTTGAAAATCGAAGCCTGAGACAAACTTTTTTGATAGATAATTGTTTATTTTCCGATGATCTCATCTGTTGTGACTTGTGACTTCAGACCAAACTAAGAGGAAGAGGAACCAAGAGGAACTAGTGTCTCACCATGTACTCACGCTGTTTGTTTTCCAGCTTCTGCTTTGAGATGCTACACTTGCACTTTGACCGACCCCGGATCTTGCACCGACACCAAGTCCTGCCCCGTGATTTTCAACCGCTGCTTCTCCCTGAGAGCTGAAGGTGATGAGAACCATGAACCAGATACAGAGATACAGAGATATACAGAGATATACAGAGATATACAGAGATACAGAGATAGAGAGATACAGAGACTTAGTGGGTTTGACACACATTTGTGGTTTAGTTTTTACTCTTGTTTATTAGAAGGATTTAAGCTTTTCAGGTTTTTGTTTTGTTTTTGCCTTTTAGAAAAAAACGCCTCTTCTGATTCAGCTCATTTCAATTCAATATATTTTTGTAAAACCCCAAATCACAACAACAGTAGTCACAAAAAATGAGGATTTAAAGCCAGAACTAAAAGAAAGTTTGGAGAGACGTTTGAAATAAGTTATTGTCCTTAAATTAATTATGGTTAAAGTCCATCAGCCTCTGACGGACCACAACTCTTTGAACAGAACTGAGACCGTTTGGGCTTGGGTCATGTTTGGTCCCTGTTACGACCTGGCTCAGCTTAGGTGTAAGGAAGTAACAGAAACAACCAAGATGTCCAAATGGTAACTAAAGTCATAATTTATCAAGATGACAAAACAGGTAAAACAAGGTAACAAAATAGGATTAAATATCTGAAAAACACACAGAGTAAATAAATAACCTATTAAACAAGGAAGCAATGACAAAACCAAAAGTATAATCTAAACGGAAGTGTCTTAACATAAACTACACACATCACTGAACTGAAGGGCCGGCACAAGCTGTGGATGATTGACAGCTCACAAGGGCAGGTCCTCCAGGTGAACGCGTGCTGATTGGAGGTTAGGTTAGGTTAGGTTAGGTTAATTTATTTGTACCCGTGGGTAAATTCGTTTTGCAATTCTGAGAACTAGTCGACACATTAAAACACATTTCAAAGATAAAACATCATACATATAAAATACAAAACTTATAAGTGCTCCACATACTAACAGGATGTGCCTTTGGTACAAAAAACAACTGAAATTTAAGCCACTTGACAGTAACAAAGATAAAAAACCTGTGTCAGGGGCAGTTTGATCCCGACTTGTTCATAAAGGAAAGGGCAGCGGGAACAAAGCTTTTCTTAAAACGGTTCGTGTGGCTCATTGGCATCAAAAACCGACGCCCAGACGGAAGCAATCGAAACTCTGAGTGCAAAGGATGCTCTGAGTCTTTTGCGATGCTTCGTGCCATCCTCTCTAGCTGTCTATCATGCAGAAAGTCCAAACTAGTCTGAGGCTGGCCAATGACTTTACTTGACCACTTGACGAGCTGATTCAAGGCGTTTTTGTTTCTAACAGAAGAGCTCCCGTACCAGGCGACCAGGCAGAAAGCTAGGGTCGCTCCGATGAATGCCCGATAAAACAGTGTCATCACAGTTTTATCTACATGAAAGAAGGACAGTTTCCGAAGACAATACAGTCGTTGGTGGCCCTTTTTACAAACAGCAGCACAGTTTTCATTAAAATTCAGTTTGCAATCAATAATTGTTCCAAGATACTTGTAGGACTCCACACACTCCACTTGTTGTCCCTTTATATATGTTACAACATGTGGGAGAGTGCTCTTCCTAAAGTCGATGATCATATCTTTTGTTTTTGCAACATTCAAGAGAAGATAAGACTCATCACACCATTTGACAAAATCCTCAACAACTGGGCCATGCTGACTTTCATTTTTGTGAAGTAGACTTACAATAACTGAGTCATCTGCGTATTTTAAGATGATTCTGTTTTCATGATCACTCTGACACATGCTAGTGTACAATATAAACAATAGGGGTGAGAGAACAGAACCTGCCTCAGCGGCTGCCCAATCAGCACCCAGGCATTGCAGTCAATCAGCTCCAGCTCCAGACTGACCAATAGGAGCCCAGGACTCACGAACGTGGTCTTCTGAAAAAGGGAGGAAACACAAACACACGGAGACACCACGGGAGAAACTAAAGTGATACTCAAAATAGGGGATAATGAGCCGTGGGCATAAAACAGTCCCCTTTTACCATTGTTTTCCTTTTGTTGTAGGTTATGACGTGGTTACAAAGGGGTGCCAGACCAGCATTGCGTGTGTCGGTTCGATTGCGTGTTGTGAAGGAGACTTGTGCAACGGAGCTCTGCATGTGACCGGCCCTGGGCTCGTGCTGCTGCTCCTCTCCTCCACGGCCATCACCTTCTTTTTCTAAACCAGGACAAATACATTCTACATGATCTGTATAATCATTATGTGTATATTGGCCCTTAAACATGGACTAGAGATGTTTCACTTTGCTGAATTTCATATTTGAGAAAAGTCATTTATCAGTATAAAAAGGCATTTTGATTGTCCATCCATCCATCCATTTTCTTTAGTTTAGATTTTCACCAGAATTATTGAAAGATTTTCTTTAACCATGTTATCACTACGTCCTAAAACTGGTGAAGTCAACTTGAAATACAGAGAGTAAGAAACACTGCAAGTAAACAATGTGTTGCTATGGTAACTAGTACTTGCTCTGGTGGCAAACCAAGCTCTGTCTCAGAACCAGAATCAGGACCAACCAGGACCCACCAGAACCAGGACCAGTACTAGGACCAGGACCAACCAGGACCAGAACCAGAACCAGGACCTTGAAAAGGGGCTTTAACTGCCATAGATTGTTGGTTATCAAGCAACCGAAAAACAAAAAGGCCGTCAAATTGACTGCTCTGGGAGTGCTGGTGTTAGGTAAAAAAAATATGGCCAGGAATCAGATTAGCAAAATCAAAGGATCTTGTGGTAGAAATGGGAAAACACATGAGACAACTAAATATCTAACATGGTGCAATGCGACTAAAGACATATACTGTGATTGTAAAGAATGCACTTTGACGAAAAACCTGGAACTCAGCAATGATCCGATGTTTAGTGACATTTGGACAAAAGCAACAGAGGAAACTATAGTAAGAAGCTGCAGCTGAAGAACTTGTATCAATGTTGAGGAAATGTTTGTATTTTTGTGTCTTTTTTTGTGTGTGTTTCTCTCTGTTTGTCACCACAATCTAAACTACTGAATAAAGAATAACGGCTTAAAATTATATACGTTAACCAGCTAAACAAAGGGTCGTATCTACATGTACATCGATGGTTTATACAGGTACATCTATGGTATATACGGTTCATTTATGGTATATACTGGTACATCTATGGTATATGCTGGTACATCTATGGTATATGCAGGTGCGTCTATGCTATATAAAGGTACATCTATGGTATGTGCAGGTACGTTTATGGTATATACAGGTATGGTATATACAGGTACATCTATGGTATATACAGGTATGGTATATACAGGTATGGTAAAAACAGGCACGTCTATGAAATATACAGGCACATTTATGGTATATACACAGGTATATCTATGGTAAACAGGCACATCAATGATATATACAGGTGCTTTGCTGTGTATGGAGATAATAATAAGACAAGATTAAAGAATAAATATGAGAACATGGTCACAAAACACATGATTTGCTTAGGCCTTGTTTACAGATTTTGCACACGTACGGAAGACTTTTCTTTTTTGTTCAAGCAAAGTGAACACAGCGATATAATGTGGCAGTGTTTGTGTCATACAGGAATAGTCAGATGAATACACATTAAGACATAATTTATACGTTCCACGGTGGGGAAAGCTCTGTGTTGCATCACTGGTTAACGAACAGTAGGACTAAGAAGCAAACAGCACAAAATGAATGAACAAAAACTCTATATTAAATAAAATAACATAACATCTCTAACTCTAGCATCAAAAGAAGCAAGTATCTCTACTTTGGCATAATAAGAAGTGATTACAAAGAAACGTGTATTCTTATGCAAGCAATTTCTCAGGCAAATCTATGCTCTGGTACGTAAAGTAGCAGCAGGAACCTCCTCAAACTCTGCTTCATAATGGAATAGTTCTCGTTTTCGGTTCGGTATGAAGATCTGTGAAGGAGTCATTCTTCTGTCCTCGGGCAAGACATTGAATCTAAAATGGCAGGTAGACATAAAGGGCCTTTAAAATAGCGTGTAAAATGGCAATGACAACCTAGAGAACAATATTGAAACATTACACATAAGGTTGGGGTGAGAGATAGCAGGTTTGAATCAAGCTAGGGTTTAAAGAGTTTATACATTCAATTCCTGGTAAACCACTTGTGGTCTACCTGCCATTTTAGACGCCACTGAAAATGGCAGCGGCTGAAATGTTGGCAGATGCCGCTGATCAGCTGTGGCAGATACAGTACCAGGTTCCACAAAAGGAGCCTGATCTTACGGACTAAACATGGGGAGGCGTTTCAGATCTATGCAGCTAAAATTTCAAACAATCTTCCTGAAAATCTGAGACCAAGTTAAGAACGATTCTGTTTCGCCGTGCATACAACTGAAGGATTGAATCTACTGTACACTCTTTTATATATACTGTTTAATGCTTTGTTGTTCTTGTTTTGTTAAGCACTTTGAGTTGCCATGTGTGAATCATGCTATACAGATAAACTTGCCTTAACTATTTCTACAAGGAAATTAGCCACGTGATCGAAACCCAGCAATAAGGAAGTGGCAGCAATTGCAAGTACAGTATGACGAGTTTTGTTCATTTTGCATCAGCAGCTCCAGAGATGAAGACCGCCCTCCATGTCTGCCTTCTCCTTATGGGCCTCTCTTCAGGTGAGTGTGAAATATCAATGAGAAATACATAAAAATCTAGTATTTACAGCAAACATGTACAGGAATTATTCACGCATTCTTTCAATTTAATCCAATTTTATGTATTTCAATCCAATCAAACAGACTCAAACAGTTTGAACGATGGAAATGCATTAATAACAAACACGTAGGAGCCATTGGTCCATAGAGAGCGGGATGACCAATGTGCTGTAGTCACTTTTTATTTGAATTGTATATAAAATACTTGGCACAAAAGAGATGTTTGGACATTTCCTGTTTGCTCATGTCCTGACTGTTTGCACACCCCGAGTTATCCTATGCCCATTGTGACCAATAAAGTATATCTTAGCCTATCTCAAATGTTACTACATTTCCAGTTAAAGGAGCAATATGTAATATTTGCATGTCAAGTCATCATTAAATGACCCGAATATTTCAAAAGGCATTAATAAATCATGTTCTTTTCAAACACATCTTTAACTGATAACAGTAGTTCATCCGAGATATTTGATTATCAAAATTAGTTTTACGACCCGTAAAAGTTGTTATTGTTTTGATTTTGATGTCCTACCCTCCGCCGTTTCGCCAATCAGGAAGTGTCATGTAAGTCCGTGATCGGGTTGCCAGAACTCCGCGCGGCTCACTAATCTCAGAGGTAAAATAACATGTGGCGCAGAACTAAAAAAGGTCTTGTTATGACTCTCAAATCATTAATGACAAAACAAAGACTAAAACGAGGATTTATATCGGGACGCCTTTGAACAATTGAGACAGCTGATAAAAGTTTACGTGTGATGCAGAATTTGCTAGTTTGAGTCCGTTCTTCACAGTGAGTCTAACTGTGTGAATCGGTGGTCTAGTGCGCTTACGATGCAGGAACCTGGGTTCGATTCCGGGCTATGTCTTTTTGTATTTATTGCATGTTATCACATTCTATGACAGATTGCTCTAAAAACGGTAAAAGACGAAGGTCAAGACGTTTTTTTGCAGATTATAGCTTAATTGTAAAAATAATCATTTAAGACCACATGTACCCCAATTAAAATAATGTTAGTCTCTTTTTGATGTGGGACTTTTACATGTTTGTCTAAAAAATAGGGAATAAATAAAATTGAAAGGTGATATCCTCTTGAGCAAACCCTGATGTTGATACGCTGAAGAAATACGTTCCAACATCCATTCTTCCCGCTCCTATTTTGGACATCAATTGCTTATGTATTTTGCATAAACTATGTATAATTACATTGCTTTTATTTTGTTTTTGTTGTTTATCTCAAATGTCCAAATAATAATAATAAAAAAACATGAATCAAAACATTCATTCAGCATTAGCACGGCTGTCATGGCAATGTGAATGGAGACGGACAAACAACTGATAAAATAATTCCCTGTGTTTGCTGCTGGATTTGGTGTGAATCTGGCAACCTGAGTCAGGGAGAGTGGGAGAGGACTACAAAATATTGACTGTGACTGCAGTACCACTTTTGGCCAGATTTTTACATATTGTTCCTTTCATTTCTGATTCACTCGAGGCAAAAACCAAACTAAAAAAGTATCTGTGTCCGCAATACCCACTTAAAGCTGGGGTACTTGACTTTTTTCATAAATAATACAGTACATTGTGTTTGCCCCAACAGAAAGAGCCCTCACTGTAAAAACGAAAAAGTTTGTTCAACTCAAAATTTCAAGATAACTGGCTGCACGCGACTTCTGAGTTGAAGTATCAACTTAATTCTTTACGTTTTGAAGAACTACAATCATTAAGTTGTGTCAGTGAAGTGTTTCTAGTTCTGCCAACTACGTTTTTGTAATTCAAGTTACTGGAACTTTCAAGTATGTAAAAAAGCACTATTTTAAGTTCAGATTACAGTCTGCTGCAAAAACTATTTTGTGTTACCCCCCACATTCATCCTCATGTTTATTTATACAGCGCTTTTACAGACCAACGTCACTTGGGTAGGGGAAACCAGAGCACCCAGAGGACACCTACTGTACGCAGACACAGAGAACATGCAAATTTCACACAGAAGCACCCTGTTCCGACCAGGATTCGAACCCGGGACATTCTTGCCAAGAAGCAAGAGTGCTATCCACTCAGCCACCGTGCTACACACACTTTAGTGTGGGAAAATTGGTAGTTACCTAGTGTAACGTAAGTATTTTTTTTTTTTTTTTTTTTTTTAATACAACTTTTATGTAGAAACGTCGTGCCCGAAGGCATTGACGGCTGGTTTCTTAAATATTAAAACATAGTATCAAAAATCAGCCTATGCTTGATGTCCCATAATTTGTTTTTAAAATTGTCCAAGGTGGGACAGTCCCACAGCTCGGGAGATTTGTTTAATAGCTTTGTTAAAAATAGGAATGGAGATCGGTCCAATGCTCGACTCGTGGGGAATTCTATGCCCGGGTGGACGAGTGTTTTATTCCGTGTTTGAATAGGAGTTCGTTTAATAATGGGACAAAAGGACTGGAGAGCCTTTGGGAGTAAACCACGTAACAGCTTGTAGCCATAGCACATCACTGCAAAGTTTCTTCTATGTTTTAAAGGAGCCAGTTTGAGTTCTTCATAATCCCCATCTGGTTGTGTATAGGGGTAGTGTAGTATGATCCTGATGGCTCGGCGTTGGAGTTTTTCCAAGCGGTTAGTTTGTGTGACATTTAGCGCAGCCCAGACAGGTGACGCATACTCAAAGTGAGGTAGAATATAACATTTGTACAGTCTTGTTAGTAGATTTTTGTCTTTAACAGAGAGGGAGAGTCTACGAAGGAGGAACATTTGAGATGCCACCTCTAGTTCTATGAAGTTCTATGAATGGTGCGAAGCCACTTAGTTCGCTGTGGGTACACTCAAGAAGCCCGAGCTTCGCGGCAGAGAGAAATTAACGCTCCAATCACGTGCCAGTCCCATCTATAAATAGCCCTCTAGCCTGCACCTGCCACTTTGAACTCTGACAAAGCCAGGCTGGACTGATGGGCCCGTAGCTAAGTGGCTTCGCACCATTCGTAGAACTTAAGTTACACTAGGTAACTACCAATTCTACTTCATGGTGCTCCAGCCACTTAGTTCGCTGTGGGTACCACGCAAAGCTGTAGAGAGATGTACTCCCATCAGGCCAGCGTACAGTGATTGGAGCCCTGCCAGAGTTCCCGCCGCACTATCAAGGCGCATGGACCCAGGGCAGGACGGGAGAAGAGCAGTGTATGAGGCCGCTCCTACCAAGGACGCCTGAGTAACACTGACAAGCTCCTGAGGAGCAAGAACAGAGCAAGGGCCGCTCCTATCAAGGACGCCCATACTCTGACAGGACTCCCGTAGGAGTAAGCAAGAAAACATACCCAGGACGCCTCTACCAAGAGCTCCTGGAGTATGGTAACCGGTTACGGGAAGAGCGGGTCACGACCCCAGGACGCCTCCATCCAGCGCTCCTGAAGGCCGGACCCCCTGGGGAGAGTGAGAGGCCCATTATCTGGACGGTGTGTGAAGAGTCAGTCAGCCCAGGCAGGGGAAGCAGAAGAAGCACCGGGGTGCTCGTTCCTGCAGTGAAGTTAGTACAGCTACACTTACCTATCTCGTCCGACGCCGGAGGGCGAAGGGAACTCGGACTAGCAGAATCAGAATCAGAATCAGAATCAGAATCATTTTTATTGCCAACGTAAGTAACGGGAGGTCACAGACTTGGAAATTGCTTTGGCTCAGTGCAACAGTCAAAAAGAGATAATAAAAATAAGAATAAAAAACACTTCTAAAGAATAAATTTAAATTTAAAATAGAGTTACAGTTACTATTTACAATATACAAGTGCACATGGTGCACACAATGTAAGGTGACAGCAGTACAGTGAAGTAAAGTGACGTATGATGGGCAGTAAAGTGACTTTATAAAGGGCGGGGGGACAGGTTAAGAAGTGTTCAAGAGTCCAACAGCAGAGGGGAAGAAACTGTTCTTGTGGCGGGAGGTTCTAGTCCTGATGGACCGCAGCCTCCTGCCTGAGGGGAGTGGTTGGAATAGTCCATGTGCAGGGTGAGAGGGGTCGGCTGTGATACGACCAGCCCGGCCTCGAGCTCGGGCGACGTACAGGTCCTGCAGCGATGGAAGGCTGCGGCCGATCACTTCCTCTGCAGAGCGCACAATGCGCTGTAGTCTCTGTTTGTCCCTGACTGTGGCTCCAGCGAACCACACGGTGATGGAGGAGGTGAGGATGGACTCGATGATGGCCGTGTAGAACTGCACCAACATCTGTGCAGGCAGCTTGGCTTTCCTGAGCTGCCGCAGGAAGTACATCCTCTGCTGGGCCTTCTTGATGAGGGAGCTGATGGTCGGCTCCCACTTGAGGTCCTGGGTGATGGTGGTGCCCAGGAAACGGAAGGACTCCACAGAGGTGATGGGGGAGTCCATCACGGAGGGTGGGGGCGGGGGGACAGTGCTCTTCCTGAAGTCCACAATCATCTCCACTGTCTTCTGGGCGTTCAGCTCCAGGTTGTTACCACTGCACCAGGACACCAGCCGGTCCACCTCCCTCCTGTAGGCGGACTCATCGTTGTTGGAGATGAGTCCAATGAGGGTGGTGTCGTCCGCGAACTTGATCAGCTTCACGGAGTCGTGGCTGGAGGTGCAGTGGTTGGTGTACAGGGAGAAGAGCAGGGGAGAAAGAACACAGCCCTGTGGGGCTCCTGTATTTATAATCCGAGAGTCCGAGACATTCTTCCCCAGACGCACTCGCTGCTTCCTGTCCGTCAGGAAGTCAGTGATCCACCTGCAGGTGGAATCGGGCACGTTGAGCTGGGAGAGCTTGTCCTGGAGCAGGGATGGCAGGATTGTGTTGAAGGCAGAGCTGAAGTCCACGAACAGGACCCTGGCGTAGGTCCCCGGGGAGTCCAGGTGCTGTAGGATGTGGTGGAGGGCCAGGTTAATGGCGTCGTCTACAGATCTGTTGGCTCTGTAGGCGAACTGCAGGGGGTCCAGGAGGGGGGAGGTGAGGGACTTGAGATGGGAGAGGACCAGGCGTTCAAATGACTTCATGACGACAGACGTAAGTGCTACAGGTCTGTAGTCATTGAGTCCTGTGATCCTGGGCTTCTTCGGGACGGGGACAATGATGGAGGATTTGAAGCAGGCCGGGACATGGCAGGACTGCAGAGAGGAGTTGAAAATGTCCGTGAACACAGGAGTAAGCTCACTGGCGCAGTGTCTCAGAGTGGCCGGAGACACGTGGTCCGGGCCAGGAGCTTTGCGGGGGTGCAGCCTCAGGAAGAGTTGTTTAATCTCTTTAGCGGCTATTGTTAGGCTGGGGGCAGGGCTGATGGGTGGGTCGTTAGAGTAGTGGGGGGTGGGGGAGGGAGAGGTGTCAGGGGCAGCATCAAAGCGACTGAAAAATAAGTTCAGATCGTCAGCTAGCTTGTGGTCATCAGCACAGGGGGGGGCTTTGGGTTTGTAGTTGGTGATCTCCCGTAGGCCCCTCCAGACAGAAGCAGTATCGTTGTTACCAAACTGCTCCTGTAGTCGTTCTCTGTGCCGGGACTTGGCTGCTTTCAGTTCTTTCCTGAACTGATATTTAGCTGCTTTGTAGCCGCTGCGGTCCCCCTCCCTGAAAGCAGACTCCTTTGCTTTCCTGAGCTGCCGGAGTTTAGCAGTGAACCAGGGTTTGTCGTTGTTATAGATGACCCTGGTCCTTGTTGGAATGATGCTATCCTCACAGAAGTGGATGTATGACGTCACAGTGTCCGTATATTCATCCAAGCTGTCTGTGGCAGCTCTGAAAAGGTCCCAGTCTGTAGATTCCATGCATGCGCGCAGCTCTTCCACAGCTTCATCAGACCACACTTTGGAGCTCCTCACTGCAGGTTTCGAGAGCTTTAGTCTCTGTCTGTAAGCAGGAACCAGATGTATCATGGAGTGATCTGAGAAGCCGAGGGCTGGCTTGGGAACAGCGCGAAAAGCTCCGCGCACGGTGGTGTAACAGTGATCCAGAGTGTTCTCCTCTCTGGTCGGGCATTTGATAAACTGTCTGTATTTGGGTAATTCCTGGCTCAAGTTTCCCTTATTAAAATCCCCCAGGATAATAATCAGAGAGTCCGGGTATAAGCGTTCCATACACAGTACTTGCTCTGCGAGTGCGCGCTGAGCCTCGCGCGCGTCCGCGCATGGCGGTATGTAAACAGAGGCAAGAATGAATGAAACAATTTCCCGCGGGGAGTAATATGGTTTACAATGAATGAAAAGATATTCCAGAGCAGGAGAGCAGTGCTTGGAGATCACTGTCACATCGTTACACCAGTTTGTATTGACGTAGAAACACAGCCCACCGCCTCTGCTCTTCCCTGAGAGCGCACAATGGCGATCCGCGCGAAACAGCCCAAAGCCCTGCAGCTCCAGAGCGCAGTCCGGGATCCGCTCATTTAGCCAGGTCTCAGTGAAGCAGAGGACACAGGATGTGGCGAAGTCCTTGTTTCTTCTCATGAGCAGGCTGAGTTCGTCCATCTTATTGCCCAGTGAGCGTACGTTGGAGAGAAAAAAGCAGAGAAGGCAGCGACATCTCGATTCTCCATTAAGTTAAGTAGATCTCTCTATGGTGCCAGAGTTCAAAGTGGCAGGTGCGGGCTGTAGAGGGCTATTTATAGATGGGACTGGCACGTGATTGGAGCGTTAATTTCTCTTTGGCGGGAAGCTCGGGTTTCTTGAGTATACCCACAGCGAACTAGGTGGCTGGAGCACCATGAAGTAGAACTAATGTTTCGTAAGGAAACCCTCAATAAAGATTATTTTTAGGAATACCATAAACATAACAATATAAGTTCATTAAACACAGTCTTTATTAACACTCATCAGCTCACTAGACTAATTTACACATTGGCAAGATGGCGCCGGGTCAGGGCGCCTCAGTAAGAGCTCTGGTGTGCACTGTCTGTTCGATGTTGTTTATATTCGTCTGTGATACACTTGCCACCGTGAAGTACGACCGAGAGACACTTCTCTACATTCGGGCCCGAGCTTGTGGAGTATCGCAGGTCTTACCCGAGCTGAGGTGCGTGGACTTCATTGAGTGCCCCACTCGTGAGGCCCGTCAAACACGGCGGGCGGGCCGCGGCAATGGCCGCGAGCAGAGCGGGGGGACTGGGCGTCTCCATCGTGCTCTCCGCGGTGTGGAGCTGGGTACCGGGAGCCGACGAAGGAGGCGCAGACACGGGGGAAAACGTGGCGGTCTGCTCGTGAGATGCCGCTCCTGCAGGACCGCTCTGCCCTCCATCTACCTGGCGAATGTACAGTCTCTGCCCAATAAGACGGACGAGCTCCTGTGTCGTATCCAGAGCCAGCGAGAGGCCAGAGACTGCGCTGTGTTCTGCCTCAGCGAGACGTGGCTCCACACGAACGTACCGGACTCTGCTGTTCAGCCCCCGGGATTCACCGTTCACCGCGCGGACAGAGATAAGGAGACCACGGGGAAATCCAGAGGCGGAGGTGTGTGCTTTTTAATTAATCAGCGCTGGTGCACGGATACTCGCATCGTGAACCAAACATGTACTGCCAATCTGGAATGCCTGGTCTTGAGCTGTCGCCCTTTTTATCTTCCGCGGGAGTTTTCTGTGATATTTTTATGCGCTGTTTACATCCACCCACGAGCGGACTATACTGTAGCACTACAGGATCTGAGCGAGATCCTTCATAAATACGAGACTGCTCATCCTAATGCAGTGATTATTGTCGCTGGGGATTTTAACAAATGTAATTTAAAGACTGTACTCCCAAACTTTTACCAACACGTGACTCGAGCTACAAGAGGAGCACATGTTCTGGATCACTGCTACAGCAATGTGAAGGGAGCTTACAGGTCCAGTCTCAGACCTCCATTTGGAAAGTCCGACCACTCCTCTGTTCTCCTTCTTCCCTCATACTCTCAGAGGAGCAGGGAACATAAACCAACCTCACGCACTGTGCAGTGTTGGTCCGAGGAGGCTAGCATGAAGCTACAAGGGTGTTTTGATGCCACTGACTGGTCTGTGTTTCAATCAGAGGATGTTAATGAATTCTGTGACGCTGTGACTGGATACATACGCTTCTGTATTGACTGCTGTGTCCCACAGAAGGTCATTAAAGTACATCTCAGTCAAAACCCTTGGATGAACGCGGAAGTGAAACAAAAACTTCATGAGCGTGCTCTGGCGTTTCAATCTAACGATACAGTTGCCTATAAGCTATCCTGTTATGCATTGAAACGTTCTATTAAATCTGCAAAGCGCAGTTACGGGGACAGGTTAAAGGGTTATTTTAAGGAAGATGACCCTCGGCGCATGTGGAGCGGTATTAAAGCCATCACGTCCTGGAAACCTAGTGCTGGGAAAATCGGATCTGTTGGCCCAGCTCTGCCTAATGAGCTGAACTCGTTCTACTGCCGCTTCGAATCTGCTGATGCCTGTCCTACTGTCTTTCCTGATTGCCTCAATCAAGGTGCGTTCACCGTGACTCAGGAGGCAGTCCAGCGGGTCTTGTCCAGCACCATTGTCCGGAAAGCCCCTGGCCCGGACGGCATCCCTCCTCGCGTCCTGAAACTGTGCTCTGAGCAACTTGCTCCTGTTTTAACAGACATTTTTAACCTGTCGCTAAGGAACTGTACTGTGCCGAACTGCTTCAAAGAGTCGACCATTATCCCAGTTCCTAAGAAAACTCCTGTGACATGCCTTAATGACTATCGTCCTGTGGCCCTCACGTCTGTTCTTATGAACACTTTTGAGCGGCTTGTGCTGGACTTCATTAAGAGCCAGATCCCTGTGAGTGTTGACCCGCTCCAGTTTGCTTACAGACAGAACAGGAGTGTGGAGGATGCCATCTCCTTTGCTCTGAACTCTGTCTACAGTCACTTGGACAATAGGAAATCTGTTGCAAGAATGCTGTTCATTGATTATAGCTCTGCTTTTAATTGTCTTGTCCCAGGTAAACTGATTGAAAAGCTCATGTCTCTCGGTTTAAGTGTTGCCATGTGTAAATGGATCTATAGCTTTTTAACTGACAGATCTCAGAGAGTGAAAATCAATGACTGTTTTTCAGATGTTGTTTCTGTGAGCACTGGATCTCCTCAGGGATGTATTTTGAGTCCTTTACTTTTTACACTGTACACTCATGATTGTGTGTCTTCCTCAGACTCTAACCTGATCATCAAATATGCTGATGACACCACCATCATCGGTCTCATCAGTAATAACGATGAATCCTCTTATAGAGCCGAGATCCAAAACGTGGTTCAGTGGAGTAAGGCTAACAACCTCCAGCTGAACGCATCCAAAACATGTGAACTGGTCTTTGATTTCAGTCGCAATAGTTCTCATTTGCCTGTCGCAATCGATAACTCCCAAGTGCAGATTGTAGAGGAGTGTAAGTTTCTGGGTCTAACTCTGTCTGATGACCTGAAATGGGTTAAAAACACTGACCGAGTCGTAAAGAAAGCTCGTCAGCGTCTCTACTTCCTGCGTAAACTTAGAGAATTTACCACTAACTCTAAGATTCTGCTGAACTTTTATCGCTGCACCATTGAGAGTTTACTTGTTGGTTCTGTGTCTGTGTGGTTCGGTAACAATCACAGATAAAGAAAAGAGAGCTTTAAACAAGGTGCTCCGCTCTGCAGAGAGGACTGTGGGCTGCGAGCTTCCTGTTCTGGAGGCTCTTTATCAATCCAGACTTTTTAACAGTGCCCTGAGAATTATCAATGACTCTTCTGGCCACCCAGGAAAAGCCTTGTTCCAGCTTCTTCCCTCTGGCAGAAGATACTGTTCTCTGAGATGCAGGACATCTCGTCATGCTAACAGTTTTTTTCCACGAGCTGTTAACAGTTTGAATAGAGCACTTTAATGTTTTGCCCTCGTATAGATCTGTTTTAAGTTGGTCAACTTCACGGTGACATTTGTTGTGACATTTGTTTACTGTTTTTAAAAATTTGTTTTTTATTTTTGTCTTTTAATGTTGTTTTGTGTCTGTACTTGTCCTGTGCACACGGGGAACTTTTACTAATGTATTCCAATGTGGTGTATACATACTGCAAATGGCGAAATAAATGAATCTGAATCTGAATCTGAAAAAAACGCATCTGCGCATGCGTCAGCTGGCGCAGCTCCATTCATTTGAACGAGAGACTTCAAAAATTCACAGCAAGTAAACTAGAGTGGACCAAAAAAATCCACCCCCTTCAGCATTGACACACATGTGGAACGGAGCTTTGGGCCAAGAGCCAACTTTTGGTCCATCCTGTAAAGACGTTTTCGAGAGGTCTGCCAATGCTATATGTTAGCATTGGCTAATTCTTCTTCTGGGTCCACCCCCACAGGCCCGGGGTGGTATTGCAGCATGTCAGCACACGTCATTTTGGCCACTTTTGAGCCGGGACCCGCCCCCACACTGGCCAGAACACGACTTTGGCTTTATCCGAATGTCCACACTATACCGTGCGGGACTTTGTGAGTGAGTGACTGACTGAGTGGACTCATTCTGATGGCGATTCGGACGCTGCACACTATTATCAGGCCGTGCTGTTGTACTTGAGCGTCCCCTAGTAGCATGGATCACGGAGCGGAGAGAGGAGCGGCCATGATGAGGTAAAGGTTGAATTTACGTTTTAATTAGGACATAACATTTAATTGTATTAACATTGGAGGCAGGCACCTGCTGTTGTTACTGCTGCTGCTGTTACTGTTGTTACTGCTGTTGTTACTGCTGCTGCTGTTACTGTTGTTACTGCTGTTGTTACTGCTGCTGCTGTTACTGTTGTTACTGCTGCTGCTGTTACTGTTGTTACTGCTGTTGTTACTGCTGCACATATGTCTTCAGAAAATGAGAGATGTGTTCTAACTATCCATGACTTGTAATTAATAAAACAAATGAACAAATTGGTCGTTGTGGTTTATATCGTAATCCACAAAAGCTGGAGGTGATGGAAATGGATGGAGAAATGATGCCTCTGGAAAAGAAATTCACACAAAAAAAATCATTAATTTAAACAGACCCGTTATTCTGGGATTAAAATGAGCCTTTTGTTACAATCAGACATGTCGACATATATGTTCATATACATGTACTGTCCCAGTCAAATTAATGAATATAAATACACAGTAGAACCAGACGCTCTGAGGAGGAGCAGAAGTACGATGCCTTTACAAACACACACATGAACATAACATGTGATATCAACAGTAAATGTAAATACATGTCCAGTCTTTAACAGGAGGTAGAGTGGGATTTATCTATCAGTCTGATTCCTCTCTGTAGCATTAATATTGAATCCATGGTTTGTTTTCTCCCTAAAGAACCGATCCTTCATTCAGTCTTGGTTTCACTAAGATGTCAAAATTTAGAATAGACAGAATAATTATCAGAGGTCTAGATACATAAAAATGAACAACATAATTAACAACAACCCCTTAGCATGCTCTGTCTCTAAAACAGCAGGTTTCGTCCTTGCTCCACTGCTAGAATAATATACACATTGAAATTGGGAACAAAGTACGTACGTCCTACAAGAACCGCAAACCCCATGTACTTGGCTTTCCTGCGGTTCATCTTAGCTTAGCATTAGCAAAATCAGCGTTGAGGAATTGCCAAAACCTAGAATCCACCTACGCGGAGCTAGCTAATGATAAGCTAAGGTAAAAATATGTTCAGAAAGTACAAACAGTAGTGGTTTGTTACACACAAACTAATGATGAGAAAACACACTTACTGGTTTGCTGTGGACGCCATGTTCAGATGAACAAGACAGTCGTGTTCTAGCCCCGGCTACATCTATGGAGGATTGGCTGATCGATTGCTTTGGTCTTGATTTACACAGAAATAAAGCATGACATTTCAAGCAGCAAAAAAAAAAGCAACGAATTTTTGGACACTGAATTTTAAAATATTGAATTTATTTACACTGAATACTTTTTTACAGTTTATAGAATTCAAAAGCAAAAAAAAGTGTTGATAATAAAAACTGATTCTGACAACACCTGTCTAAAGTTTCAGACTTCTAAGTTTTATGGTTTTTATGCAGTTTCTCCTTTTCATCAAGTAGTGCCATTCGGAATGAATTTGGCACAATTGTGCCAAAATGCTTTACTAACATTTCATCAATCAAAAATATATTTTTTTTATTATTGGTACTTAA